TTGACCCACCTCATGAGTAGAAAATGAAAAAATCAATTCTGTTAGAAAAAACGGCTAAAAAGAATACCTGACAATTAAATTTTAAATGTTGAACTACAAAATTGAAATTGCCGATTACGTGATATTTTTGATTGCACTTTCAAAGATAAAAACTTTTGCAGCGACAATGTTTATAAAAATTTGGGGTTAACAACAAAGTGGCAACCATCTGTACATTTTTTTTCGCTATTTTTAATTCGCTCGGACTTGAAACAGCTGGCAAAAAACAGTTTATTACAGATTTGTCTGCAAATAACTTGGCAGTCTTTCTTCTTTCTAATTTTGTTTACAAGTGAAAATAAACGCTTGCGACTAGAGCAGCCTAACTTAAAACCTTCTCACGATTTCTGGCTACAACTCAAACGGTTTTCTCAGATTACAATTATGTAATGCACATGGTCTAACAAACGCTTTAGTGCAGCTAAAGCAGAATTGTCTTATCTGTAATTGAGTAGTAATTTTCTATTTTTTTTATTAAACGAAAAAATATATTGAAGTTTAAAAACAGAATTTCATTGCTGTTTATCCTGACAGGCATGAAAAACTGTTCAACCAGATATCTGTTTGTCAGTTTTAACTGATTTCTCTTCGCCGATTCTTAACAACAAAATTTTTTTTTATAATTCTTCGCTTTTTTTAGAGAAATACCTTAATGTGTAATACAGCATGGCTATCAACTACTAATTAAGAAAACTGATAAGAAAGAGCATAGGACAGCATCAGAACAAGTTTCGAGTTTTATAAGTCAGGTCTCAGAAAAATAATTTTGGGGTTGCTAAAGATCAGCTTTTTCAGCCACCCATATCACACAACTTTTCAAAGCTTTTTGCAGCTGCTACGCTTTTTAAACTTTGTTCATTTAAATTTGATCGTTTAGCGATGTATACTAGATGTGTGGTAATCTGTTTAATCATTGTCACCTCTTATGTTTGCTCGCTTAATTTGGTTGTTAATGGAAACGACAGCCTTGTCCAAGGCTTTATTCACGATGTAGGAAATGGAATAAACGTCAGAATTTTCTTAGGCATTCCGTTTGCGAAACCTCCAGTTGACAATCTACGATTTGAGGTACGATGTACAGATAGACTACAGTTCTGTAAAAAAGTTTTTTAGTCAAATATCAAATTCAAATCCTCGTTGTTCTAAATTTAGAAACCAGTGGAACCGGACAAATGGATAGCGCCAGTTGGAGCTACAAAGTACCGATCTGCTTGTTACCCACATGATCGCCTCAAAATTCACACCAATCCAGCTTTGTTCAGCGAAGACTGTCTTCACCTGAAATTTATAACTTCCGCACATAAGGGTTGCGGTAATATCTGGTCGGCGAATACGGATAATTGAGAAGAATTTTTGAAATGTACGACAACAGAATGCCACGAGGTTAGCGGTTTGTGTTCTGCACAAAACACTCTTATGAAGCAAATTCTTGTCGCTTTATTTCTCGCTTTTCTAGCAATTAACCATTGTTATTTTTGTTCCTCTACAGTTTTTTAAGTTTAATTCATGCTAATTTCAAAAATTTTTGCTCTTAACGGTGATCGTCGACAAGTGCTAGTAAACTCTGAATCAAAAAGCCTCCTTCTCTTTAGCAGCATCTGTTCTGCTACTTTTTTATTTCCTTATTACTGTCTTCTGTTTATTATTTTCCTTCGTAAACTGATTTTTCACAATCAATTTAAACGGTTTAGAGTAATGCGAATTACGCAGTGATGGAATGGATTCACGGGGGCGGATATGAAATAGGGTCTGCTTAAAAATACGACTATAAACAAATCGCCAAAAATTTTATTTCACAGAATGTTGTCGTTGTCACTATCCAGTATCGGCTTGGTTTCCTCGGTAAATTTATAAGTCGCCTCAAAATAACTGTATAGTTTCGTTGAGCCACGGTGAATTCCGTAAATGTACAACTTTAAACCTTTGAAGTTTCTTTTCTACCGTCACTGAAGTGATGCCCGGAAATTTGGGTACGTGGATCAAGGTGCAGCACTTAAATTTGTCAAAGAGAATGTTGCATATTCTGGTGGTGACCCAGATAGAATAACTGCTTTTTGTATTAGTGCTTGTGGCGATTCTGCTAATATCTATACACTATCTTCTCAATCACAAAGTAAAGAGTTTGAGATAAACACAACGGTTTAATTTTTTGTTCTTATTTCTTCTTTGAGGAGGTGCTTTGTTTTAGTTTTCTTCAAGAACAGTATACAAATGAGCAAGAGCTCTCTCGCACATTGATCTAGAAATGAAATAGTAGTCAGGTCTAGTTTTGAACTGGCGAAAGAAACTGGGTGCTAGACAACCAAGTTGAACACAGTAAAGTCTCGCCTGAAGAATAAGACAATTGAGGAGTTTTTAAACGCTGCTGACAGAACAGTTAGTTCTTTTATTGCAGTAGGCTCTATCTATTTTTTTTCTTGAAAAGTTAAATTCAAACAGAAAATGTCAACAAAAGTTTTATTTGGCTGTAAAACTAATGTAGAAGCTATAACTAGCATTTACAGGGGGCAGTTAGTGACGAGATCTATGAGATAAAATATGGTCCTCGCGTTGACAATGACTTTTTACCGAAAGACCCGGAAACTTTAATCAAGGAAGTGCCCAAGAAGCCAACAATCATTGGAGTTACAAAAACGAAAGCTATCCATTTCATTTTGTTGGATTACTTGAATTATATCGCAAAACTTCTCTTTGTAGACAATTTTTTGTCTTTTGGAACCGTACCGTGACAAATTTTTATTGCGCAAACAAGCGGTACTGCAGTTTTGAATTTTGGCAAAAAGAGAGAATAAGTAATTTGAAGTAGTTCAATTCTAGCAAGTAGTTAAACTTGATTAATTCAATTTCTAGCACTGTTTCCTGTAGCAAATGCGTTAATTAGGCTGCAAGTTCAGCCGAAGAATTTAACCAGTTACAGCCGAGAAGATTTAGTAAATTTTGTTAAGAATAAAGTAGCAAACGAAAAAGATTTTGAAAACCAGTTTAGTACCTTTTTATTCTTTTTTTTAAATGTGAACAGAAACCTATTATTGAACGAAAACCTTTGTGCTGAGGAAATAAAACTGCACAAAAAATTTTGTTAATGTTAAACTGGTCTTGACTTGAGACTGTTATACTACTTAGATTAGTGTAGTAAATTTCAGAAAACAAATTGCTGGACTGTGCACAGGCTACTGTTTTTTAGGTTTAAATCGCATATTAAAAAATCTTACCAAAATTTTTCATAAAACATTTGATTCCTAACTTTTTTTTACTTTATTACATTTCTTTTTTTACTTGTATAGTTGCCTATATATTTTTATTGTCAAGAATTCAGAGACAAAAAATTTTACTATTTTATTGGACAAAAACTACCCGGAAGTGAATGATATTAGTAAATGCAGTATCTGTAGTTTTTCAAGTTTTAAACAATTTCCTCCAACTGTTAAAGTGTATAAGAATTTTTCTGAAAATTGTAAACAACAAAAATAATTCTAGAATATTGTTTGTCACAAAACCGCAATTGATGCCTTTTACTTTTGTTCATTTAGGTAGTCAAAACTCACACTTAACTAGCTCTAAAAATTACAACCAGTATATGTTATTATACTCTACAATTAACAACGAATATGTGCATTTTGTATGATAAATATTTTTCGAAGAAAACTAGAACAACAATTAATAACAAAACTTCATTTTTTCAATTACAGCAACTGACGACTACAGCTAAAGAAGACGAAACAAAGATACACAGCTATACTCAAAATATAAATTTAGAAGTAAAGAGTGTTACTCGACATTGAACTGTGATTTAAAATTTTACAGTACAATATAATATAAACTAATTTTTTTTTTGTAACTTTCAGGTTAGCATGCAGTTTAGCGTTTTTACCTTATTGATATGTATATACAAACAATTATTTAATTTTGAAGGTATCTTTTTATCGTTCTTCAAGATTTATCACAGGCTATATTTTTCTTAAACGTTTTTTGTTGCAATGACAACTTTGTAGACAAAAACAGTGGTGTATAATGACAGTGTTCTACAAAACTTTGGCGCTTCTGAAAATAACGAAAACTCTGTTTTCTGGTTGATAGAAGTAATAGAAAAAAAACAAGCGCTGATGATGCTGTATACGTCAAGGCAAGTAGACTGAGCATTATTTCACTACTCCTCCTTTATCGTGTTGACACTAAGAGAAGGAGTAATCGTATTACCGGTAACTTTGGCTAACGGTTGCAAGTTTGCCTGATTATTTAGCAAATTACCACATGCTCTGCACGTCTTTGTTGGATAAGAAGCTCCCAACAATTCTGCTGTATTTTCGCTCTGAACAACTGGCAGATCCGGACATCTTCTGTAATAATAACAGAACTCGAAACAAAAGTTGAAAGATACAGTAAAGAATTCTCTAAAAAATATTTTAAAAATTGTGTCTGAAAAACTTTGATCTCAGAATAAAGTTTCTTTTTTTCTTTCTTTCTTGATCTCTCCAATTTTTGGTATAAGTAGTCTTCTAATAAGCTACACATAATGTTACTTTTTTGTTTCTTTCAATAAAATGCTTGTTTATTTCACTACTGTAAATCCGATCGCATTAATATGCAAAAAGTCCTAAAGTTCTATGTTCTGAAAGTGTTATTTGTACAGTTATCAATTTCGGTATGGCTGCAGTAGTAAACACAACATTGTTTTCTTTACGGTTACGTTTTATTATTACTGCTGCTTAGCTCAAAACTGCTGCCCTTGTCACAAAGCAACTTCTTACTTATTTGTATTGTTTGATTAAGCTTCAATATTGCCAACATATTTAGCTTTTTGAAGCATCATTAAGTAATGAGTTTCAGGCTCTAGTCATAATATCAGCAATTTTCATCCTCTGTTTAGGCAGACTACACTGAAGAATAACAAAAAAAAAATCTCCACTGACACCAAGCGAACCTGTAGCCAAGACAGTATGGCTAAGAATCTGTTGGTTACTATTTTTTGCACTACTCTAGTTTGAACTTCTTTGATTTAACTGACAACAGGTTGCTTACAATTATTTTTTATGCATAATTTAAATTCTTTTCAATGTTTATAGAAAAAACAAAAATTTAGAAAGGTGTACAGAAAAACAACAACAATAACGAAAAAAAGAACAGAAACTACTAAAACTGTTTTTTTTTTTCAGAAATTTTATTTTTGAAACCTAGATAATCTGGTTTGTACAGGAATTATCATTCGTATTTCTGTGCTCAGTAAATAAGCTCTTTTGTTTTCATATTTGGTATAAGATAATAAATTTTTTTCACAACAAACGAGTTGAAATGGTTTTTGAGGTAATAGCTTGAGAAACATACAATATGATCATGAAACTGTCACTCTTCAGTAGAGCAAGCCCTAGAATGCGAAAAGCACACTTAAACTTTGCGCAGTTACTCTTACTGAAGAATTACTTTTGCAAAATATTGGTTTAAAATCAAATAAACCCTAACAGACAGCTAATTTTTTGTTTCTGACGCTGATAAATTGACACAGAGCACCTGCTTAAAGAGGTTTACCTTCTGATATCTCTGCTATAATGCTCATTTGCCAGGCTGAATCCTTTCCGTAGCTGAGTGTTCATTCGAGCATAAAAAATCCAATTTAAAGCTGCAGCCAGAAATGGACACATGTGACAAATATACTGAAAAAAGCTACGCTGTTAAGACTGGTGTTCTAAAAAACTAATAAAATTAAGCTTTTCAAATGTTAGACTTCGGATAAAACCATCTTCGGCTGATGACGAAACTTTAGATTACTCTATAAAATGGTTGATTTTGTAGGCTAGTAAAGCTTTTGAATAGTTTGAAAAAAGCACGAATATGTAGACAAAAAATTTAAAGCCATTTACATTTATAAGTAGGTTTTAAAAATTTTACACAAAGAATTATAAATTATAGAATGAAAACTTTTGCAATGTTTAGTTGAAAAATAAATATATTTTTGAAGCAGATTTTAAAATTCCAAACAGCTTTTTTTTTCTTGCTTTTTTACAAAGTTTATTATCATTTTATAAAAATTTCTGCTATTTTTGATTAATAAACTCAGGTTCTTTTGTTCGTTAATCGGTGGTAGTTTTGCTTTCACCCGAAAACTGTTTCTACCTACCGCGTAGAAATTGCATCACAATTTTTGCATATTCAAAAAAGCTGTCTTTTGTTTTACACACGAAACTAGACTAGTG